AAAAAAAAAAAGTTTTTTCAGTGGATAAGGATTAGTTGGCTGCCTTAAGAAGCATGCAACCTCTCTCATATTTGCTTTAAGCCTTAAGCCCAGAGGGTGTGGAAAGGGACCTATGCTGAGACTCAGGGTGTAGTGACCCTGAAGTCGAGGGTCCTTGCACAGCTGTGGGAACTGTGACCCCGCCGGCCTGTGCCCCTCTGGGAGCAGAAATAAGAACCGCGTGTGTGTGTGTGAGTGGAGCTTGGCCGGGTTGTCTGATGCTCACGACGCACACGCACGCTCCATCTCTTGTTGGGCAGGGACGAGCCTGGCCGGTTCTCGGACGCCATCCTCTTCTGGTCCACAGCGCCGCACCGCTCCACCTGGAAGCCAGAGAATCCAGCGGCTTTGCCTGCCGTGTGCTGGGCCGGGGTGTGAGCGCAGCCAGCACCTCAGGGGTCAGGGCCTTCACACCGCACTGTTCTGACAGAGGCCCAGAGGGAGGCCCTGGCATGGTCTGCCTTAGCCTGTGGCCGGTTACAGCCTGGCTCAACCCCCCTTTGGCCACAGGAAGTGATTCCCATTTGCGACATGGCCTGACAGGATCTGAAAGGCCAATGGGTACTTCTGCAGATTCTGTGCTTTGATCACATGGTTAGGTTCATTTCCTTATGCCGAGAGCCAAGGAATCTGTGTGCTTAAAAAGTATTTAAGAAAGGGCCGGGGATTTAGTTCAGTGGTTCAGATGCCTGCCTCGCAGGCACAAGGGCCTGAGTCCATCGCCTTGCTTTTGCTGCTTGTCCACTGCTGAGATGGGCACACAGGACCCACGAGCTCTGTGCAGGCCCTGGGCAGTGCTGTGCGCTGGGTTTTAGGAGACAGCTGCAGTCACCAGGGTGCAGAGCCGGCCCAGGGCAGGACCTCGCCATGGCCCCTGCTCCTTGCTGATCACCCATGGGCGTCAGTCCCTGCATTACCCATACCTGTTTTTCTCAGAGCTGGTATTGAACCCAGGACCTCACATGTTAGGCAAGCATGACCATCAAGCGGCATCCTCGGCACTTTTTTTTTCTTTTTTTTTTAAATTTTCAGATCCAGTGTCACTGAGTTGCCCAGGAGGCTGAGCTCGGACATGCTACCCTCCTGCCTCAGGCTCCTGAGTGCTTGGATTACAAGTGTGCACCGTGCCTGCCTGGCCCTGATCAGTTTTACATTACAGAGGCTGGGTTACCGTCTTTTCACCACCGCGTCCAAAACACTGGCCCCTGAGGCGGGTGTAGTTTAGCCCGACGCCGTTTCCAAGGTTCGCAGGTTGCACACTCCACACACAGCTTTCTCACCGCGGAGCGCCTGGCCGGTTCCCCTGTGCTTTGAGGTGACCCGGGGAGCAGCGCTGCAGGACTGCTGGAGCGCGGTGGTGCATGGTTAGCAGACCCGGCACAGCAGGGGCCCTGGGGTCACCTCCTCCTCCTCCTCCGCAGGGGCCATGGCGTCCGGGCCCTCCGTGCTCATGCGCCTGGTGGCCTCGGCCTACTCCATCGCGCAGAAGGCCGGTGTGATCGTCAGACGCGTGATCGCCGAGGGAGACCTGGGCATCGTGGAGAAGGTACTGCAGCCCCTTGACGGGTTCCCTGCTCTGGTGCACCCCAGGACGGCCGTGGGCGGTCCGGGTGACCCACGGACCCCGATGGCTTTGGGAGTGATCTTTGGCCCCGCCTGGTCATCTGTATGTGATCGTTAACTTCATAAGGGCTTACAAGTAAATGAACTGCTGCCCCACAGCGGGCAGTGGGGAGGACACAAAAGTAACCGCCTGTTAGGGGTACGTTTTCAGTGGTGGTTGTACAGCGGCCCTTCACTTACAAACTCAGTTCATTCCCGAGGGCTGGTTGTGACTCATCTTGGCAGAAAGAGCAGGAATTTATCTTAGAGGAGAAAAGAGGTGAGGTAGCTTTCCTCAGATAGGTGGCTAAGTGGCTGTTTGTCTTTATTTCTTTTCTCTATAGCAGAAGTCTCCAAATGTGATTGATGTGTAATTCATCTTGAAAATCAACAAATCTACTCAGTAGTTTCGTTCAGCAGATATTTATGAAGCGGGGTCTGAGTTGCCCGGCTAAGCTTGAACTCTGTATCCTCCTGCTTCAGCCTCCTGAGTGTGGGAATCATAGGCACCGCTGCACCTGGCCATTCCTGTAGGGCATGAAACCCCTTTGTCGGTTTCCATTTCAGCAAAGTAATTCTTCCCATTGAGATGCGATAACAGGCAGACTTCAGAGTGGCAGGAAGCTGCATGTCCATCTCAGCTTGAGATCCCAGGAAAATTCTCGTCTAAGATGAGATATCTGTAACCCTGCCGAACCAGTCCTGCACAGCCCCGGGAAGGTAACCTAAGGAGGAGACCGCGGTGTGGACTGCAGCTGCCCACTGCTCCACAGAGTGACCGGGCTGGGCCACGTGGTAGCACCCCTGCGCCCCCTGTGTTCCTCAGACTGCAGAAGCAGGAAGTCCTCCCCAGGCCAGTGAGTTGTCGTGAAAATCTCTTAGGTGATTAGGGTTAATGAGGGAAGTTTTATAGATGTATAAATGCACACTTTCAAAACTTCAATGTAGTATTTAACCTTTCTTTTAAAAAATCATAACGAGAAGGGACAAGAAAAGAGTGAAAATAGAAGGAAAACATGGAAACAAAAGCTTTTGTACACAGGGAAGAGTTGGCTTGAGGGAGGGAATGGGATAAAATATTTCTTTTTAAAGGTGAAAAGAAATAATAAATTTCTTATATGTAGACTCCTCAAAAAACTAAACAGAAATTCCACTTGAACCGGTTATACCCCTTCTCGGTGCCGCCCCAGAAGAGTTAAAGCCCATGTGACAGTGACCCATGTACAGTGTAACCATGTTTGTAGCAGCCAAATTCATAATAGCTGAATCTTGCAAGCGGCCTGCAAGTCCGCGGACAGACAGACAGATAAAGGAAATGCGGTATTTCCGCACCACGGTGTACCGCTGTGCCATAAAGGACAGACTGGAAGGACATGCAGGGAATCGGACGCACCTTGACACCATAACGCTACGTAAAGTAAATCAGACCCCCAGGCTTCAGTATTGCACGGCTTCTCCTACACGGGAAACCCAAATATAAGTAAAGAGCAAAATGAAAGGTAAGAGGAAGCAGGGAGACCGATCTTTCTTCAGTGGAAAGGACTGAGGGTGGAGGGAGGGGACGAAGAGGGAAGGGGACGTGCACCAGCTCCCCAGGGAATGCGTCGTTAGCCATGCAGACAGGTAGCAATAGACATAAAAGCTGAAAAATCACGAATTTCTTCCCTTTAACCCATTTTTTTGGGGTACCGGGGATCAAAGTCGGGTCCTTGCCCTTGCGAGGCAGGCAGCAGAAGCACTGAGCTAAATCCCCAGTCCGCCCTTTTTTTAATTTTAACTTTTTATTTGTATTTGCAGAAGAGATGCTCCCTTGCTTCATGGGGCGCTGGTGCCTGCAGCTAACGTGTCTAGGTTCTTTTTCTTCCCTCTTTCTCCTCCCCTCCCACCTCTGTCTTCTGGTCCCCTTTCACCTTTTCTGTTTTGTTTTGTTTTTTTCTTTGTTTGGTTTTTTGAGACAGGGCCTCACTATGTAGTTCAGACTGACCTGGAACTCACTATGTAGCCCAGGCTGGTCTCGAACTCACAGTGATCCTCCTGCCTCAGCCTCCCACTTGCTGGGATTACAGGTGTGCACCACCATGCCCGGCTCCCCTTTCCCATTTGAGCGATCTTAGGAGTAACACTTTTCAACCAGGAGGAAAACATGAAGTCATAAGGAGTGTGTGGCTGGTGGGCCTGGCCGTGGGTCTCCTCCCCACACCACATAAAAATGATCAGAAAACCTTCCCCACAGTAGCCACACTGCCCCGATGAGAAAGCAGGAGCCATGCAGCCAGGACTGTATCCGTACTGAGTTCTGGTGGGAGGCGAATCGCTGGACACCCTCGAGAACCCTGGGAGTGATTTCTCCCGGTCCCAGCCAAGTTTCCTCCCTTTGCCGCAGACCTGCGCCACAGACCTGCAGACCAAAGCCGACCGGCTGGTGCAGATGAGCATCTGCTCTTCCCTGGCGCGGAAGTTCCCCAGGCTGACCATCATAGGGGAGGAGGTGAGGCGAGGCTGCGGGTGTGGCCTGGTCATTTCCCAGCTCCAGGCCCAGTGTGGGGCAAGCACTTCCTTTCGAGCTGTTCTGGTCCCTTTCTGGGCCTGACCTCTGGGTGGCTTCCTCCGAAGGACACTGACAGTCACAGTGCCGGGCGATGCAGCTCAGTGGGGAGGGTTTGGTGTCCCCGCCATGGAGCGGGGGCTGAGTCTGGGGCCAGGGGTGTGGCTCAGTGGCAGAGCGACCGCCAAGCAAGCGTGAGGCACTGGGTTCAGTACCCAGCACCAGGGAGTAAAGTAAGAAAAACTGCAGAGTGCTCGAACTTTGGAGTAGAGTGGGCTTTGTCAGCTTTTAAACGTGGGCTCAAAATAAGTGAATAAAGTGGGGTCGCCTGCATGTGTACCCAAAGACTGCTGCACTGTAGATGTAAAAGAATAGATGTCTCTTCTGTTTTGTAGGGTGTTGGGGGAAGGTTGGTGTTTTGAGACAGAGTCTCACTGTGTAACCCAGGCTAGCCTCAAACTACCATGATCCTCCTGCCTCAGCCTCCTGAGTGCTGGGATTACAGGTGTGCGCCTCGAGAGCCGGCTCTTAAGTATCTCTTCTAATTGAGAGTAGTTATGTTCGAGTCTTTCCTCTCCCAATCCGGCTCAGGATGCTGATGTTGGGACCATTTAGCCGATCTCAGGCATCTCCCAGTGGCCCTGGTGGTCTCGTTAGGTTTGCTTTGGAGGATGTGACCGTGAGCGGTAAAGGGAAGGACTAGCAGAGGGGGCCGCTGTAGCCTCTGGACCCCAACAGCTGATGACTATCACGTTATCCTGTCTCCTGCGCAGGACCTGCCCCTGGGGGGCGTGGACCAGGAGCTCATCGAAGATGACCAGTGGGAGGAGATCCTGCAGAAGCCGTGCCCAGCGCAGTACCTGGCCATTAAAGAGGAGGACGTAAGGCCCCGAGGCGAGCTCCACACTCCTCATTCCTGTAGGGCAGAGGGAAGTCGGTAGTTGTGCCTTTGAGACTGGATCTTGCTGTGTCTTTCAGGCTGGCCTTGTATTCACTGTATAGCCCAGACTCGCAGTGATCCTCCTGCCTCAGCCTCCTGAGTGCTGGGATTATAGGTGTGCACTACCACACCTGACCAAGAACTTGAAAACCTTTAGCCACATGGGACATCCAACATGTTGACTTGGAATCCAGCTTCTCATCTTGTAGGTTTTCTTTCTTTCCACCCTGAAATCATTATTAAAAATACTTGTGAGAAAAAAAAAATCATACTTTTTTTAGTAGTAGATTTGGTGGCAAAATATCTCATTGAGTTGATCATGATAATTCCAGCCACTCATGAGGCTGAAGCAGGTAGATCACATGTGTGAGGCCACCCTGGCCAACTTAGTAAGATGCTGTCTCACGATAAAGAAACAAAAGCCAGTGTAGGGTTTGCCTACCACATGCGGGGGCCTGGATTCAACCCCAGTTACCACAAAAAAAACTTGTTTCAATGGTAATTGGGTCCAGAAGGAGACGAAAGATCAGGTTACCATCTGATGTTTTCAGCAGGCCAGTCGTCTCACCTACTATAGTTGCTTAACGTAAGTTAGTCTGTGGCTTCAGATTTAACCATTCCTCTATAGTTTTCTATCTTTAAATCATTTAACACATTTGAATGTGATACTACGAGTAAGGTGCTTTGCTCTGTGGTGTGCAGGATACAAAGGAAAGGGGACGTGCTGGTATCCACCATAAGTGTGCTCTCGCCTGGGATGGTTGGTGCACGCTTGTAATCCGAGCACCCTGGGAGGCTGAGGCAGGAGGGTTCTAAGTTCCAGTGTAGCCTGTGTAATTTGATGATTTAGTAAGACTCTGTCTTAAAATAAAGGATAAAAAGGACTGGGGAGGTAGCTCAGTGCAAGGGCTTCCCAGTACCAGAAAAATAAATGGAGAGATGGAAAGAAGCGTGCACTCAGCAAACAGGTTCCCAGCAGGCTGTGATTCCAGGAATTAAGGGTGGCCTGTCCCGCGTAACCCTGAACACCCGGGGCAGCAGGAACTTCGCTCTTAAACTGTTGTCAGTTTCATGAGCCGTTTGTTTTTTGTTGCTTATTGGAACTGTGTCCTGGAGGAGGTCACCCGTAAGCACACATGGTTCCACTTTGCAAGCTGTTCCGATACTGTGTCCAGAACTGGACTACGTCTATTTACTACCTGTGTTTGGAATTTTGTACAGGTGTACACTTGATTTCCTTGTTACATTTTTGTTTTTTAGCTTGTGGTCTGGGTTGACCCTCTGGACGGCACCAAGGAGTACACTGAAGGTATCTCTTTTGTATTCCTGTTTCCCAGTAGTGAGGCCAGGCTGGGACACTTGCTTGTAACATTGGATAGTTTGTGTGTTTATTGGAAAACAGCATCGTGCTCACACCTCTTCCTCACCTTGGCAGTGGTTATCTTACATTCATGATTATTGAGACAGGGAAGCTGGATGTGGGGGCTCATACCTGCAGTCCCAGCACTCAGAAGGCTGAGGCATGAGGGTCCCAGAGCGTTTGAGGCCAGCCTGGGCTACATAGCGAGACCATATCTTAAAACCAAACAGGCAAACAAAAAGCCCAACCACTGGCAAACAGGGAAGCTCCAGGCGGCTTTAATGGATATTAACAGCATGAGAATGCTTGCTGACACTGTTTGTGTCTCTGGCCAGCTCTCAGAGTCTGTATATTTCACCATAGGAGGGCCTCACCATGGATGAACCACTGACTGGGTGAATAGCGGTTTAGTAAGACCCGTCTGGAAATAAAGAACAAAAAGGATCGGGAGTGTAGCTCAGTGCAAACGCTTCCCAGTACCAGAGGAGGGGTGGGAGGAAGAAACAAAGGGAGACACAAAGAGATGGAGACAGCGATAGAAGGAAACAGAGAAACGTGCACTCAGCACACGGATTCACCTCACTCCTCGTCTCAGAAAAACCCCGACGTGGTTGTTGAGCTGCCGCTGAGTCCTCGCCCGAGAAAGCTCCGGACGTGGCAGACGTGGCAGACGTGGCCTTTCTCCTCTGCAGGTCTCCTCGACAACGTGACCGTCCTCATCGGCGTCGCCTACGAGGGGGAGGCCATAGCGGGCGTCATCAACCAGCCCTACTACAACTACCAGGTATGGCCCGTCACGTCCGTGCTTGGTGGGTCTCCAGGCCCTTCCCAGGCGTTCGTACCCGCTGTGTGTGCGCACGGACACGTGCTGGGCGTCGTATGTTTCATGTACATAGTTTGGGGATTACTCCTGTGGTTCTTGACTAGCGTGGTCATCAGGGCAACTGATGTACAGGTGGTTCTTGAAGCAGACTGAAGAAATGAACCATTTCTGTCCAAAGGAGACGCCAGTCACGCGGCTCCCAGGTAAAGCCGCACAGGGCAAAAACCACAGGCAGTTTCCATAGCAACTAAGCCTGCTCCTGCACTCTTCTCTTCTGTTTCTCCTAATCTGCTTTGACTCTCTGTTGGGCTTCAAAGACACTGCCTGCTTAGAGCCCAGACTCTCACGCTCGATCCCAGCCCTTCGGGAGGCTGAGGCTGGAGGGTGTACGTACGTTCAAGCCCAGCCAGAGCAATTTCCGGACTTCGGCCTGGAGGGTGTGGCTCAGGGAAGAGCTCGGAGCTCATCATCGCTGAGGCCCACCACCAGTAGAAGCAGGAGACTTGGGCAATTTCCAAGGAAGACAGTACAGTTAAGGAATTTAAAGGAAACTGAGGTGAAATACTTACAGTACTTGCACTTGCCATGTTAACGTGACCTGGGTCGACCTGCAGAGAAGCAGAGTAGTGCCGAGGTCAGTATCTCTGCGTTTGGATGTAAGAGCAGGGTTACTCTTTACTTTTGATATGAACTTGTTTTTCCTGCTGTTTATATATCATTAGCAACTTTGGTGTAATCATGTCTTCCTAACAACGTAGCAAAAGAGAAATGCGTTGTCAGGAGCGCCCGTCCTGCCGGATTGCTTGGGTGACCACAGTACTCGCAGTGTTTGCTCGTGCATGTGCGGAGTTCTCGTGTGCACTTTATAGTGTGACCCCACTGTTACTTCTGATTCGGCTCTGGAAAACTCTGAGTAAAGCATGGGACTTTTCATCAGCAGTAGCGAGCTAAGGGCCGAGACTTGTTACTAATTTTCTCCCTTCTTTTGGAGATTAGGGAAATTGTATTCATTCTCCACAGAACGGTGCAAAGCAGGTGTTCAGGGAGCACAGCAAGGGAGCAGAGGTGAGAGCCAGGGCCTGGCGCCCACAGGGAGGAGAGGGCCGGGTGCCTGGCGCCCCTGTGCTGCTGTTGTCCTCTGCCTGTCCCGCACACGTCCCCTCCGGATGCGCTCTGTCCTCTTTCCTTTTCTCCTGCTGCGGCCTCGGCTTTGGACGCCGCGCTGCCGTGAGTCGGGCCCAGGGGCTCCCGCATGTGGCCAGGCTCCGTCCATGTGCATTGTTGCTTTCATCCTCGCCGTGGCCCTGAGGGCCCCACTGTCCCCTTCAGGCAGAGCTTGGGTCACCCCGAGCGGTGACAGCTGCGGCGCAGTCAGGGCCAGAGCTCACCGTGGCTCCGGGTGGCTCTCCTGAGCCACACGACAGCCCCAAAGCCGGGGACACCAGAAGGAAGCAGTGGGGCACACAGGCGCCCTCCCATCTCAGCTGTGTCCCAGCAGTCGTGAGTCCTGATGGGGGTGGAGCCCAGGCCCCACACACCGGCCTCCATCCCCAGCACCTCCCTTTTGAGACAGGGTCTTGCTCATCCGCCCAGAGTGGGCTCAAACCTGTGATCTGCTTGCCTCAGCCTCCCAGGATGCTGTGATTACAGGCGTGCGCCCCTATCCTGACTAATCTTTTATTTTCTTTTTTGAGGCAGTCTTGCTAAGTTGCCCTGGCTGGCTCAAGCTCCAGCTTCTTCTGCATCAGCCTCCTGATTGCCAGGATCACACAGGTGTGCCACCATGTCTTGCTGCCACGATGAACCTTAATTAATCCAGCCATGAGATGCAGTGTGATCATTTATTGCCTCAGAAAATCAGTCTGTAATCCCTGTACTCAGGAGGCTGAGGCAGGAGGATCATGAGCTCCAGGCCTGCCTAGGCTACACAGTAAGACCCTGTCTCAATAAAACTAAAACAAAAGCAACAAGAAGTGAAAATGAACACAGAACCTTGGAAAGAATGAGGTCCCGGGACTGAGGCCACAGTGTGGGTCCCAGATGCCTCACGGGGCACTAGGACCCTGGGTCCAGGCACTGCCTGTCCCTGAACAGAAGCAGTGTGACTTCCGGGGACCAGGACACTCATGCCACTGTCCGCAGTGCTCTCCTCTCACCAGCACAGCGGGGTGCTGGTGTCTGGGGGGCCTGAGCTTAGGCTCAGTGATTGCCATCTGTGCTCTTTGGTTGCAGCCTGTCCTGTGGCCCAGACTCGGGAGGGAGGGGCGCTTGCTGGACACCAGGCTCCCAGCTCAGCTTCCGGGTCTGTGCCTGGGGACCCAACTGCAACCTGAACTCAGCACACACTAACTGCACCCGGGTGCAGCCTGAGGACGACAAACAGGATGGTGACCCAGGCCTGCTGGCTCAGGGATGGGTACCATCCTGCCAGGCATGGTGCTGCGCTGAAACCCCAGCCCTGGGAGGCTGAGACAGGATCTCATGTTCAAGCCAAAAGTCTTGGGTTCATCCCCTAGTACTACAAAAAAGAAAAAATGAATGTCTTACCAGGCACAGGGGAACATGCCTGTCCTCCCAGCTATTTAGGAGGCTGAAACAGGAGGATCATCTGATCTCAGCCTGGGCAGCATGGGAGACCTGTCTCAACAAAGAAAAATTCAGGGCCAGGGATTTAGCTCAGTGGTGCCACTGCCTGCCTTGTAAGCACAAGGACCTTAGTTTGATCCCTGGTACCAAAAAAAAAAGAAAAGAAAGAAAAACTGTTTTGAATAAGGATGAGCTGGGTTTGGCTGTGGACTTCCTAGAATCCTCAGTCAGGTTATTCAGTGATGCCAAATCTCACTTTCTCATCTTTAAAACAAGGATTATAACATCTGCTGCGTGGGGTTGCCTTGAGGGAGACTGAGATAAAGCACTGGGAGTGGTGGCCAGTCCTGCTTGGTGTCCAGGTCTGTGAAACCTGCCTACAGCATTATTAACATCACTTTAATGGTCTGTGACTCGTTAGTTTCTGCCTCGCTTCCCCTGTCCCTGATGTGCAGGCGGTGGCTTCTCTAGAAAGTGCACAATTGTGACAATGCAGCTGAATTCCCTGAGCTCTGCAGAGGGAAACAGAGTCTGAGATTGCAGGGGTCCAGTGCAGCTTATCTTTCACCCTGTCCCTGTCACCGCAGTAACAGCGGCCCACACATCAGGAAAGCAGACATCAGCATGCATTTTGGTTCCCGAGGGCTTCCGTACCTTTTGAAAATGGCTATTTTCAATGTAACAAGCAGATCATTGGCTGAGAAAGAAACAGCAATCAATATGTGAAGCTTCCTTTCCCAAGGACTCTGGGGAATGAGCAGAAGTTCCTTCAGCATCTCTGAAACTATCAAGTAAAACAACAGTGGGAATAAACACCTGCCGGGTGTAGCACACACCTGTGGTGCCAGCACTCAGGAGGCTGAGGCAGGAGGATTGTGAGTTTGAAGCCAGTCTGGGCTGCAGAATGAGACCCTGGCTCAAAAAGAGAAAGAATAATCACCTTATTCTGCTGGGAGGAGTCCTTTGGTTCTCTGCCAGTGATGTGGTTCTGGTATTTATAACACTGTCCTGTTCTTAATTTCCAAGTGTGCCGTGTCCCGAGCGTCACTGAGTAGAGTTTGCCGATGCCTCCCTTGTCGTGGTGACAGCTCTGTCCTCTCTCCCGTCACCAGGCAGGACCCGATGCCGAGCTGGGGCGGACGATCTGGGGTGTCCTGGGCCTGGGCGCCTTCGGGTTCCAGCTGCAGGAGGCCCCGGCCGGGAAGCACATCGTCACCACCACGCGCTCGCACGGCAGCAAGCTGGTGTCGGACTGCGTGAGCGCCATGGAGCCTGACGCTGTGCTGCGCGTGGGTGGCGCGGGGAACAAGGTGGGGCAGCGCCGAGAGATGCTCAGGTCTCAGCCGGGACCCTGGGCCCTGAGAGCCCTGTGCTGCAGGCCCCCATCCTCTCCCGGCCTGGCCCAGGGCGCAGTGCAGCGGGCGCTTCTGCTCCTGCCTGCTCTCAGCCCACTGTCCTGGCCGCACCATGATGCTGTCCCAGGTTGCTGTCCTCCTGCCCCACCTGGTAGCAACACCGCCATGGCCCCATCTCCTCCAGCAGTCCCTCTTCTTCTGCACCCTGTCCCCATGGCTCTGCCCGTGGACCCCAGTGCTCCCCCTTCTGTTGTCCACGCAGCTGGACAGCATCGCTGGCACACAGCCACGTGGCTTCCCAGGAGGCCGGTCCTGGGGCACACATTCCAGCACTTCTCCCTGCCCCAGATCCCGAACACCCCAGCCTAGGCCGGGCGTGGTGACACACACCTGGGATCCCAGGGCTTGGGAGGCTGAGGCAGGGGGATCTCTTAGAGTCCAAGGCCAGACTGGGCTACGTATGGTCTCAGACCCTGTCTCAGAAGCAAATAAAACAAAACAAAAGTTGGCACTGTGGTAATAGGAGCAGCAGCAGGGATGATCCGAGCATTAGGAGCGGGTCAGCACCGCACTCCTGTGAGGATTAAGATGTGCAGGCATCGCCACACTGTGCGGCTCTGCTTTACTTCGTAACAGCCAATATTTTAGAAATGTAAACAATTTTGTTCCATCGTAAATTGCTTTTGTAGTAAGAAAAAACAAAATGAATATAAAGAAAGCTTTATTTCATCTGACATGCCATCTGGAGACTGCGGGTTTCCTCCTGGTAGCTCTACTTGGCCAGTCCCTCCCCCTTCAGATGCATGGAGCTTATTATCCCCCCACTTATTTTTCCCCGGTACCGGGGATCGAACTCAGGACCTTGCACTTGCGAGGCAGGCCCTTTTACTTATTTCTCGTAACCCTGGCAGAGGCTTCAGCATGAGTGGGGTGGGGCAGGGCAGTGGGTGGGACAAGTGGACACAGAAACAACCTCCTCTGGCATCTGTCGCCTGCCCTGTTGCAGGCAGGGACAGTTCTCACTTCTGACCTTCCAGATCATTCAGCTGATCGAAGGCAAGGCCTCTGCCTACGTGTTCGCAAGCCCCGGATGTAAGAAGTGGGACACTTGCGCGCCAGAAGTTATCTTACGCGCGGTGGGAGGTGAGTATCTTGCCAAGACCTCACATCCAGTACTAGTCCTGTGCCAGCTGTGGGGAGAGGAGAGGTGTCCAGGCTGGAGCTCGCATTTCATGGGTGAGTGAGGGGATGTTCAGAAAATCTGTTTTTCTTTTGCCCCTTTTTGGGACTTTGGTCTGAATCCAGTTGTTTTTTAATCCAGCTCTGTTTATTTTTAGTTTTTTATTAGTACACGTGTCGTACCTGTCGATCACATTCACCATAGGAATTTGCACCTACATGCCTCATGTGGGCTCCCCTGTCTTAACAGTTTTAATGCTCTTGAAGTCTCTCTTCCTTGAAAAGTAAAATGTCTGGTGCGGGGCATGGTGGCACACGCCTGTAGGCCCAGCACTTGGGAGGCTAAGGCAGGAGGATCAGCCTGTGCTACCTAGCCAGACTGTCTCAAAGCACCAGAAAAAATGTTCACCATCACTGATGTTCCTCAATTATATTTTTAGAACAGTAAACATACACACTTAATTCTCTTTCAAGCCACACTGGTGAGTATCTCACTTCTAGTTCTAAAAATGAAGGAGTTAGAAATACACGGCCCATTTATTTGTTGTTTTTTTTTTGAGAGGAGAGGAGGTCTCTACGTAGTCCAGGCTGGCCTTGAACTCAGAGATCTTTCTGCCTCAGCCTCCGAGTGTTGGGATTACAGGAGTGCACCACCAGGCCTGGCTTACATTACACATTTACACACATGAAGGTGATTTCCCATTTCAGATAGACATGAGTTCCCATCCGTTCTCTGCCAACAGTGCCTGTTAAGTCCTGGTGAGAGGCACAGCTGCAGCCCCACTGCAGAGCACTTCCTTGCCTTGCAGGTACGAGGCCCTGGGACTCAGCCCCAGCACCAAAAAACTGTAAAACAAAATCCATCAGATCCAGGCGTGGTGGGGTACACTGATCCCAGCAGCACACTGAGGAGGAGGTCAGCCTGAGCTATAGAGAGACCCTGTCTCAAGGAAACAGACGGGCGGGGGATGCAGCTCAGCGGCACCGAACCTGCCTTGCAAGTGCAAGGTCCTGAGTTCGATCCCTGGTACAAACCCCCCCAAAAAAAAACCACAATAAATAAATAAAACAACCAGAGCAGGCTGGGGCACAGCAGTGCAGAGGGAGCGCTCAGCACGGGCCTGGCCCTGACCTCCTTCCTTGGCCGCCTCTGCAGGCAAGCTGACCGACGTCCACGGCAACGCGCTGCGGTACTACAAGGACGTAAAACACATGAACTCCGCCGGCGTCTTGGCGGCGCTGAGGAACTACGACTACTATGCGAGCCGCGTCCCAGAGTCTGTCAAGAAGGCCCTGGTCCCTTAAAAGGAAGTTCATCCCCTCTCCAGGAGGACTGGGTTCTCAGAACTGCACATTTTAAATCTGATTGGATGGAATTATTTGTCGTTGATCAGTAATTTGTATTAGTTACTTAGGAAGAGAAATAGCATTAAAGAAATTGCCTTTATTGGAGTGTCACACTCCCATGCCTCGGGCACGTAATAAATTTTGTATGTTCCTTTTCCTGTTTAAAAAAGCCAGGCGTGGTTGTGTGGGGCTGCTCAGGAAACTGAGGCAGGAGGAACACCTGGCCCAGGAGTTCAAGGCCAGCCTGGGTCCAATCGTGACCCTGTCTTAACAAAAAAATGAATTTAGCTTATTAATCATAAACCAAGCCAATCTTGACATGTGGAGAACTTATAAACTCAACATGTTATTATTTCTTTTTAGGTAGAAAAATTAGGCTTAGTTTTAGCTGACCCTTTAGGTCACTGGTGTGATCAACATTCCCGTCTGGGAAACCAGATTTCTTCAGGGCACAGAACTTAGTAGTTCCAGCATTTCACCCTAAATTCTCAGTAATTTTTAAAGTGCTCCTACTCCTGTTAAGAATGTTTATATTGTTACTGTTTAATGAAGAGACATTTATGGGAAAAGTTTCTTCAAAATAAATTATTTAATCCTAGCTGTGTTATTTATCAGGTTTTTTATTACTTTGAAAATTATTAGAATTTACTCATTCTGTGGCATTATTACAAAGTTTAACTGTGGAAAGCTGGAGGCTGTCTTTGTTCCATGTAATAAGAGATTCTAACATTTCACATTTGGACAGTGGCTTACATTTTTATACTTCTGATCTCTGTTTTGGGTGAAGGAAGTGGTTTGTGTTGATAGTTCCCAGACACACTAGGGGTGATTCATTGGCAGAGCACATGCTTAGCAGCACAAGACCCCAAGTTCAGTGGTAGCACAAAAACAAAAGGCAAAACAGTTCCAGATAAAACTTTGTATCAGAATCATCTGGAGGCCAGGGATTTAGCTCTGGTTTCACTGCCTGCCCCACAAGCACCAATCCCTGGTACCAAGAAGAAAAACAAGAATCATCTGGGAAGATTTTTTTTTTTTAAATGTAGATTCATTGCCAGTGCAGTGATACCTTCAATCTCAGCCTCTGGTGGGAGGCTGAAGCAGGAGAATTGCCAGGTCAAACCCAGCCTGGATGACCTAATAAGACGTTGTCTCAAAATATTTTTTAGGGCCAGGGATTTAGCTCAGTGGTTCAACTGCCTGCCTCACAAGTACAAGGGCCCAAGTTAGATCCCTGTTACCAAAAACACAAACAAAAAAAAAAAAGTTTTTTAGATGAGTGGGGGCTGGGAATGTAGCTCAGTGTGAAGGCCCTGTGCTCAATCTCCAGTGCTGTGATAAATACGCAGATTCACAGGGCCAAACAGAGTAATTATTATTCTGCATTTTAAGAAATTCTCCGGGGACCTTGATGATCGAGATCATTTACACCTAGGACTCACAGGATAGGGTGACAGTATTATTTCAAGGGCAACAGAGTCCAGCAGGGAGAGCTCTACGGCTTTGACCCCGCAGGACCCTCCCTCTCATACCCACTCATCCTGTCTCCGATCCCCCACTCTGCCACATCTTCCTGCTTAGCTGCGTCTCCTTAAACGTCACTGCCCTCCAGGAGTCTCCTCTTGGCTCTATTTCTCACCTGAAGATCTAATGCATCTGAGTGTGTAGGTGCACGTCTGTTATCCCAGCACTCCGGAGGCTGAGGCAGGGGGAATCGCTGAGAGGCTAGTCTATCTAAAAAGTAAAAAGAAGAGCAGGAGCAAGAAGAGCAGCAGCAGGAGAGGCAGGGGCAGCAGTGCTAATGCATTTGTGTGGTTGCACCCAGGGCCTCTGTATCTGAGAACTTCCCAGGTCCAGATCTACACATCCACAAGCCTACCTGGATGTCTCTCAGTTGTATATTTCTTCAGTATTTTGCCGTGCAGAGCACCGAGCTGCATCCCCAGCTCCTTTTGTCTTTATTCTGAGGCAGTGTCTCACCCGGTTTCTCAGGATGACCGTTCTTGTGATTTTTCTGCCTGTTTCCCAAGTAACAGATTATTGGTGTGTAAATCACACCTGAGGAATTATTATTTCTAAACAGACCTTCATTCTTACCCACATGCTCTTAAATTATATAAACCCACAAGATGATCCTGATAATTGGAAAAATTTGAGAGTCATGACTTTAATCCATTTATTCTTTCTAGGAGTGGACTTCTCTACAGTGGGCCAAACCTAATTATAAAAAAATCTAAGTGCAAACTAGACCTGGCATATACTTGGGAGGCTGAGGCAGGATGATTGCTGTGCACTCAAGGCCAGCCTGAGCTACATAGTGAGATGTTGTCTTAAAAAAAAAAACAAAAAAAAAAACCCAAAAAAAAAAAAAAATAGTACAATATAAGAATAACTTTAAAGGTATTTCCTCCAACCTCATACATGAAAATCCAGCTTACCCAGGTGAGCTGTTTGGGGGTCTGCATCCGGCCCCTGCAGTGTCCTAACTGACCCTTGCCTGCTATCACATTGTTTCCACAGGGCATTTTAAAAAATCGTCTCTAAAGGGCCAGAGATTTAGCTCTGTGGTATCACTGGCTGCCTCGTAAGCGCAAGGTCCTGAGTTCAATCGCCAGTACCAAAAGAAAAAAAAGCATTCACCCTCCCAGCTGAGGAGTCTACCCATTTTAACCAAGTAGTCAGTTCACCAATTTCTGCAGCAGAGTTGCCACTGCGCCTGAGGCATTGATCTCCGTGCCTGATGAGGTAGGAGGTGGCACCTGTCACCTGCCACCCAGTGCAGTTCAGTCCTAAACAAGGAATGCCTGTGCACTGCGTTGAATGGCATGGTCGCCTCTCTGGTAAGTGGGGGTCCGTGACTCCCCGTAACCCATGGAGTTGGTAAGTGGTGTCGGTGAGGAGAAGGCTGGAGCCCCATCCTCAGGGAAGCCGGTAGCACATCCAGAGTCCACCACTGAGGATGCCACCGAGCACGTTGGGCCCTGCTGAGCCCCGCTGCCATCACTGCCACCCCAGGCACAAGCTGGATGCGGCCACCTTGGCCTTCATAAGGCACAAGTGACACTGCCTGCTGCCACGAGTCGCCGTGCCACTCAGCCAGTGGACCCGATTCCCATTACAAACACAACAGGGGACAGCACGGTTGCTGCTGGAAGCTGCTGACTTTCGTTTGTTAACAGCAACAGATACATGAAACAATTTGGATTTCTATTTTCCCATTGAAAACAACCTATTGAAACCTGATAACCAATAATAGTAATAACTGAAGCCGGGCGTGGCAGCGCACACCTGTAATCCCAGCACTTGGGAGGCTGAGGCAGGAGGATCGCTGTGAGTTGAGACCAGCCTGGGCTACATAGTGAGTTCCAGGTCAGTCTCAACTACATAGTGA